ATATATATATATATATCTATATATATATATATATATATATAATACATGTATATATATAATAATATATGTACATATATGCATTATGTATGTATATATATATAATATGTTTCTGTCTATGTTTGTTTTTGTTTAGCAGTATGCAGTTAACCTTACACTGTGATTATAACCTAACAATACTAATGCAAGCAACAATTCATTTTGGCTGGTATTTGTCGTAAGCCTGAATCTAACTGAGACTTAGCGGTGCCAATGCTAATCTCTCTTGGATTGAGATCCTGGATTATTCCTGGATTAAGTGGATATAACTTGTGTGCAGCTGTCAGCTTGCGGGTGATGGATGGCGTCTTGCATGTTACGTCATCCCATGACCTGCTACTCGCTCAATCAGCAGACTTCGCGCATGCGCATGCTATTTCAATCATGTTTCTTTGAAATAATTTATACATACTTCCGTTTTGTTTTATAAATTTTTACAGAGTAAAGTTTTTCTCTGACGTTTTCATACATTTTTACACTGGTGGGCTTGATTCAGTGGAATTTGTTTTTTAAAGTGTGGTTTTTATTTTGAAACTTTTGGTAATCAATACAAATAATTTAAAATTACGAAATAATTGTGTTGAATTACTTAACTGAACTTGTGTTACAAATTCAATAAAATGTATAAGCACAGTCTGATTTGTAACAGTAGGGTTACTTTTTAAAACAATGAATACTTACGTAACATGAGTATTTTTTTCTCTAATAAAAAACAAAATTGTAAAACTGATCGGTAAATTTTGGTTTGTGTGTTTCAGGAATTGGTATTCCTAACGAGAAAATCGGTTTTTAGTGCGAGAGTATTCGGTAGCTTGACATTCAATTAGCCGACACTAATAATTAAGGAAATAATGAATTCACTTTTGAAAAACCCGCGTTAAGTGTTCTTTCAAGTTTTGAAATCGTAGATTCTTAAGTGGATTCTTAAGTGGATTTCTTATTGCTATTTAGTGGATTTCATGTTGGATATAAGTGGAAAAGATAATTCGCCCCAATAACGGATGTAGACGTAGGACAATGGGAATGTTTCTTCACTTAGCACAAACTGTTTACTTATTGCAAGTCATCACTGTATCACGTGGAGCCAAAGAACTTCCGGTAGATGAAGAAGACAAAGAGGTAAAAACACATGAGTTCGAAACCCACCAGCTCTTGGACAGTTTTCAGTCATTGGTTTTTTTTGTATTGCGGTAGATCAGTGATTTTTAATCTGGGTTTGATCGAATCCCAGGTGTTCGGTGAGTCAGTCTCAGGGGTTCGGCGGTGGTCAAAACACACGACTTATATTATTCATATTGGGTTTTGTCAGTGCGGATGATAGACATATTAAGAAGGGTTCGGTGAATGTGCAGAAGAAACTGATGGGGTTCGCTAACTTCAAAAAGGGTTCGGTGAATGTGCAGAAGAAACTGATGGGGTTCGGTAACTTCAAAAAGGGTTCGGTGAATGTGCAGAAGAAATTGATGGGGTTCGGTAACTTCAAAAAGGGTTCGGTGAATATGCAGAAGAAACTGATGGGGTTCGGTAACTTCAAAAAGGGTTCGGTGAATGTGCAGAAGAAACTGATGGGGTTCGGTAACTCCAAAAAGGTTCAGAACCACTGCGGTAAATCAAATGTAACATCAAGTTACAATTCAATTTATCTAAAAAGGACATTGAATGCAATACTATAAAATGATATTGCATATAATTAAAAATTTTGTCATTTTTTTTGGGTCAATTTCTCATTTTAAATCTAAAAACAGTGTGTATTCGAAAGAAAACGACTTCTAATATCTAAAACTGATTTATGTACTAGTTTATTAAATTAATAGTTATGGTTATTCTAAGTACTAGGTTATGATTTAGGGATGGTTTTATATTTTGTTGACAATAGTCTAACCTGACTACAAAGACTTATTTTAACCGAATTTACAAAAGTAATTACCCTCTCAAGTAATTCTTGGGGAAAAAACAATTTCCCCGCCGAAGCAAACTTTTTTTTTCTAAATGTTATTTCCATGTTTAGAGTTTTAAGAACATTTCTAAATACGTATGTTTTATCTCAGAATATAATTATATTGATATAGGATTAAAGTAGAGGTACTTTGATTAAGTGTTTTTGAGAAATTTAAAACAATGATACTCATTGTCTGCGTGTTTAGGGCGTAGGTCCTTATGTCTGTCTCTCTGTATCTCTGTTTAATGAGGACTAAGCATGTTTTTTTTTAATGTCTACTTTAAAAAGCGGACTACAGTCAGCATGTGTCTTATGTTAGAGAACGTAAAGGCGACTGGGTGTAGCAATAACCCCATTAACATTTTACTGGAAAGAATTTAACAGAAAGGGTTGAAGTGAACTTGATTTGCCCTACCAGATTGAAAAATGTAAAAGGAAACACTTTAAGAAAAAAGAAAACTTTTCGAAAAAGTTTTTCGCTGAGTTTCCCCGTTACCTGTAGCCTAGGCCATGACATTTAGCGACATGTCACCTGTCATTTCATGTCATTCAATGAACACTCCTCCCGTTGTACTGAGCTAATCCTCTACAGGTGTTGCTTTTATATGCAGGTAGGTCGCCGGCTTGTGAATAAAGCAGTAAAAAAAACTACATTTAAGTAGCGATACATCGTCTTCAATGAAAGATCGCTCAGTTATGTACAGCGATGTGATGGGGAATTGTTAGAGAAGGGGGGGGGGGATTAGGGTATAAACGGCCATTTTTTCTAATAAAGTCTATTAGTGTAGAGTAGCACTATTTGCTTAATTAGCACTATTAACTTATGTTTACTGCAATATTTGTTGAGTTTGATATCATGTTCAATTGAATAGGACTGGTACTCTAGAAAATACCTTTTTAAAAGCGCTTGTTTTTGAAAAGTTTAGAGGGATATGTGTGGTCCAGTGGATAAAGCATATGGATGCTAAAGCGAAAGCTCTAAGTTCGAACCCCGGGCTGATACGGTAGAATAGATGGGTCCAGTAACCCATCTAGGAGATGAAACAGCCTGTACGGCACATCATAAGTTGGCACGTGATACTGAAGTGTGTTGGAGGAGCTTCCAACTTGACAACTAAAAACGAAAAAAAATACTATCCAAAAAATATTTTAACGGTAATATGGAACTCTTCTGCTAACTCGTTTTTTTTTTTTTACATCTTGTTGTAAGTACTGTTGTTGACTATATACGCTGTCTATAAGCATTAAATTTCATTGGTTCCCTTCATAGATATGATGAATAATAATTACACCGTCTGTAATTGATACGTTTCTTTTTTTGTTTGGTGGAGGCAGCTGGTCATATTTTGATCTGCTCAACTTAAAGTCAATGTAAAAGACCTTGTCACATAGTAGAAAAGATGAAGTAGAGTTCATCTGTTTCAATGACCGTGACATGTGCAGGGCAGTGTTTCTTTCAGACATGTTTCTTCGGGGCTAGGGGCATTAAAACTTTCGGGGGGGGGGGGGAGGGGGAGACAAAGTATTAATTCTACATAACTTAAATGGTTTTTTTTTAATATTTCGTCAGGCGTGGGGAGAGGGGGGAAAGAGGGCATCTGAAGAGATGCCTGAAAGAAACTCTGGTTCATGGTATGTGTGGCCTGCACTTTGTCCATTGTACTTTCCTTTCCTGGACATGTAGTAGTCAAATTTTGGACACACTTTTACACATAAAGGGACGACGTAGCCTAGCGGTAGCGAAAGTTTCAAGTTCGAATCTTGGTTCAAGTAAGAAGAACTCTCCTGAGTCCACCAAGGTCTGATGGGTACCTAAGTCACGTTAGGGTAAGTAAAGGCGGCTGGGCATAGTGCTGACCACACAATCTCTTCATACGCCGAGGTCACAGAAACAGGTGAACTCTACTTCGTGTACCCATATGGACCGTCAGGTTCGAAAAAGTAACTTTACTCTCATAACTTGTACATAAAAAGCGACAGGAACAAATATGGCTAAGGTGAATGGGCATTGCGTATCACATTCATCTTAATTCATTACAAACATGCTGATAAACAATAATTTCCTTTTTTTTTACCGTCGGAAAGATTTAAAAACGTGGACAGAGTCTTCCAGGCATCTCTATCTCTTGGGGGGGGGGGGGGGGGAAGCTGTATCGAAGAAAGTCTACCGCCCCCTCCCCCCGAACGAAATGGAATTTATATAGAAAATATATAGTTTTAACAGTGTCCGTCCGTCTCCGTCCCTCGGAAATTTTAGTCCGCCCTCTCTCCCCCCCCCCCCTCCCACTCCAAATATTTCAAGTGGCCCCCCGGAGAAAAAAATCTGGAAGAAACATTGAATGTGGACCGCACTACCCACCCCCAAGGAAAACATGCCGCCTAAAATTATAAAATTAATGTTGACATCTGAATATTAATTAATCATGTGAGACATTATTGCAGATTGCATGCTGGGAAGATAAATAAATTAGGAAACACCCTCCTAGTGACCTTGGGGGTAAAATCTATATTTAACCTCTGTTGCAATTAATCTCATATAGTGTATGGTAGATTCCTCTTCCTGTTTAAACAAGGCTATGATGAATAATCAATCTCATGCATTAGGATTCAATACTACTGTGTTGCTTACACAAACATAAACTAAATCAAATCATAATTAAAATAACGCATAATCACACCTCATCAATATACCTTCGATTCTACAAGCTACCAGATTGTTACATTCTTCTTATAAAAACCAGGCTAATTAGACGATTATTCTCATAATTACCAGGCTAATTAAACCTTTCTTCTCATAACTATCAGGCTAATTAAGCCTTTCTTCTCATAACTACCAGGCTAATTAGACCATTCTTCTTATAACTACTAGGCCAACTCGCAGTATCGTCTTATAATACGGCCCACCGAAGTCACTCTTGATAACCGGTTTCCAATAAAGGAAAAACCACCTATAAAACATAACTCTACATTACTACTACACCTAGAATAATTAACGTCATGTATTTTGTGTATTGTGTGTTCTTAGATCAAAACAGTGAAGCCTCTAGCTGAGATAGGACTGAGTACTCTGGAGGGGCATCATGGGATACCTGTACCAATCGACAGTTTGTTCACACAAATCTCCTCCACTAACACAGGTGAGAAGTGATCACTAAGTAATACTTAACATAATAACCGTTTGCAAATATTGTTTACCTTACAAAAGACTAGTTCACTTTGTTATTGTGACTTTTTCTTAATTGAAATATTGGAGAGATTTCTTCAATAACAATTTGGTATTACAATTTGTTAGATGTCCCGTTAACTTCAACGTCAACCTACTTTTACTTCTGGATTTGCTTCTATAGCCTTTGTTCACTTAAAATTTTTTTTACAAGACAACAGTTGTTTGATTTTCGAGTTTTTTCTCGCCTATATTTGTTGCTGTCCCTCGCTAGATAGCCTCATTAGCCCGGGGGTCCGAACTCGAGACTTTTGAGAGTAGCATTTAAACGCTCTTTCACTCGACCACGCCTTCCCTAATTTTTTTTTCAATCTATTGGTTTAATTATTACTTCAAGGCTAACAGTGCAGAGGCAGTTGAATTTATCAATAAGATTTTATTGTATGGCAGTAGAACGACACTTAGTTTTTTTTGTTGTGAAAATTATTTTAGAACCATTTAATTTAATATAGGTATAGGATCTTATTCTCTGAGCTCTCTCAAATTTTCAGTCATTTCTATTTCCAATTTCTGAAAAAAAAAAAAAAAACTTCTACCGGACCCATTTCTTCAAAATATTTTGCGTAGGTCTTTTTTTAGCGTGCAAATAATGGCGAGATATTTTTTAGCGTAAAGATAATGTCAGGATGATTTTTTAGCATAAATATAATTTCAGGATATTTAGTTTTAACGTGAAAATAATGTTATATTTTTTAGCAAGAAAATAATCTCATGATATTTTTAGCGTGAAAATAATTTCAGGATATTTTTAGCATGAAAATAATGTCACGATATTTTAGCATGAAAATAATGTCAGGATATTTTAGCATGAAAATAATGTCAGGATATTTTTTTAGCGTGAAAATAATTTCAGGATATTTTTTGAGCATGAAAATAATTTCAGGATATTTTTTGAGCATGAAAATAATTTCAGGATATTTTTTAAGCATGAAAATAATGTCAGGATATTTTTTAAGCATGAAAATAATGTCAGGATATTTTAGCGTGAAAATAATGTCAGGATATTTTAGCGTAAAAAATGTCAATTTTTCAGCGTGACAATAATGTCAGGATATTTCTAGCGTGACAATAATGTCCGGATATTTCAGATGACCAGAGCCAGCCCGCACGTCATGACTGTGTGAAGGGCAGTGAGTTGTCAGAACTGGACATGTGCCTCACCCCCTCACAGGCCACCATGTTTGATTCCGTCAGGTGAGGTGTGTTTTCAATGGCCTGGGTTCGAATCCCGTTAGGTATAGTGTGTGTTCAATGGCCTGTGTTCGAATCCCGTATGGTACGGTGTATGTCTAATTTCTGAGTTCTACTCCAATTAGGTATAGTGTGTGTTCAATGGTCCGGGTTCAAATCTCATTAGGTTTAGTGTGTGTTCAATGGACTCGGTTTAAATCCCGTATGGTACGTTGTGCGTTCAATGGCCTGAGTTCTATTCCCATTAGGTATGGTGTGTTCAATGGTCCGGGTTCACAAACAGTGTAGAGGAGGAGGGGGAGGGGAAGATAAATATCGTCAAACAAGCGTGAACATTTTGGAATGACCCCCTACACACATAGTTATCCAAAGGATAATAGTGGCTTCTCTCTCTCTCTCTCTCTCTCTCTCTATATATATATATATATATATATATATATATATATATAATTATATATATATAATTATATATATATATATATATATATATATATATATATATATATATATATATATATATATATAATTATCAGATATAGAGGGCAAAGAAAGAGAAGACAGGCATCAGCTAATGGTTTTTCCTTGTGGAAGAATGGCATAATCCCATACGTCTTCAACTTTACATTTCGTAAGTTGGCCTATTTCTTCTAGACTTGTAATATCAAAATTTAGCGCAATACGTTCAGCCTGAACCTTCCAAATGTAGGTAATACACTACGAATGTTATTCTCAGCTCCACAAGACAGAGACGCCATTTTGTCTGCGATGGCCGAATGGGAGAAAGCTACCTGCATCCGGTTCCGTCTGGCCAGTGCAGACGACACCGATGTCGTCGTGTTCAGGGATGGACGAAGGTAAAGCTCGCGGGTGTTCGTCTGGCAGTGATACACATACATCAATAACAAGACGGAATGTAGGAACGAGTCTAGCAGAGGCGTAGCGACCCCTCCCGGCGCCCAAATATTTTTTAAATTTACAATTCAAAATAGCAGCAAAAATGAGATTATTTTGGCGCCCCACCACCCCCCCCCCCGTCGTTACGCCTCTGGAGTCTAGCATCATTTTATTAACGCCATCCCCATCCATTTATGAATATTTTAAACAACGATTCATACACTTATGTAGAAAAAAAAGTCACCCGAATTACTTTCAGGCATCTATTCGGGGGGTAGGGGGAAGCGAAACGCCTCCTCCTCCCTGAAGCACACCCACCCCTCCCTCCCAAGAACGAAACATAATTTATATACAAAATATAATATACTGCCAACAGTGTCCGCCCCAGGCCCCGGAAATTTAAATCTCTCCCACACCCCCCCCCCCTGAAGAAAACTGTCTGAAAGAAACATGGACAGTCATGCACACGATACGTATCAGAAAGTTGGATTCTTCCTAGCAGTATTCGGGCGTTGTAACTATTCCACTGATCCTCTAGCTATTTTAATATATGTAAAATAAAAATAAAATTCCGGTCTGTCTGTCAGTAGGACGTACAGATAAAGTACAGCTTACCTGTTTCTGTGACCTAGGCATATAAAAATATTAAACAAAAACCCAGTAAAGTAAAGCTCCAATTTCAGACCAAAAGATCTATCGGTTAGACGAAGTAGAGATACTATGTAAGTACATTGTCAGCGCTATGCCCAGCCGCCTTTACTTTCCCAAACGTGATATTAGGTAATAATCAGGGTTGGGTTGACAGTCCCGAGTCCGAACCGAGATCCGAACACGTGATATTCGGGTTGGCAGGCGAACAATCTACCATTCGCCTACGCTGTGGTACGATAAATTTTCAGACGTCTAATACCTTATTTTTACATTTATTTTAATTATCACTTACATACCCTTCTTAGATACTGGTGCTTAAATCGATTCCAATGTTAATCTACGATCTTGAATCTTGTCTTGCTAAACTGTTTTACAGTAACTGATTATAACTTTAATTTGTTTAGACACCGGAGTAACTGTTCATATTGACCTGTATATGTGTGTAGATGTTCATGATGACCCGTGTATGTGTGTAGATGTTAGCGTTGACCCGTGTATGTGTGTAGATGTTAGCGTTGGTCACGTGATGAACACAAACATATTTTTCAGATGCTCGACCAACATCGGACGTATTGGTGGTCAACAGGCCGTGACCCTGGCTAAAACCTGCAGATCTGTAAGTGAATGTTTCTTGTGTGTAGGGTTTCTTTCTGACATTTTTTTCTCCGGGGGATGGAGAGGATGGACACGGTACGAGATAGGGGAGGGGTGTTACCCCATTCCGTAGAGAAGCCTAAAAGATGAAAAAGAAGAACAACTTGCAGAGTTTCTTCCAGACATTTTTCTCCAGGGGAGGGGGGCACTTGAAATTTTCGGGGGGGGGGGGGGGGGGGGCTAGAATTTCCAGGGGGGGGGCGGACACTGTCAAAAGTATATATATATATATATATCCTATATAAATTCCATTTCATGGGGGGGGGAGAGGGCGGTGGACTCTTCGGGGATGGGGTTTGGGGGGGGGGGGAGATGCTTGGAGGAAACTCTGTACAGAGAGTTTTGTGTCTGTTGTTTGTTATCTGACGATGTGGTAAAGCCAAGGGGTAAAATCGTCAAGAAATGACATAACTTTTGGACACCGACTTAATGACATGCTTTTTTTTTCAAAAAAAGTTATATTCGTTTATGTCATTTAAAAATGCTTTTACTAACAAGTGGATTTTAAAAAATTAGTTCAGATATAATAAACTAAACGCGATTTTTCAAATTGCATTACTTGTATTAAAACTTTCCTTTAGTAAACTGCCACTGTAATTCCAACTCCAATCATGAGCTTGTAATATCAACTTAAACCCAACTAATCATTAGCTTGTACTGTGCAATTAAAATATCTCTTTATTTCTAAATTTAGAAACGGATTTTGATCCATGAACTGGGTCACGTGTTGGGGCTAATCCACGAGCACCAAAGGCACGACCGGGACAAATATGTCCGGGTTTTGTTGGAGAATGTCCGGAATATGTCTCAGGAGAGGTATGTCTATAAGTGTTACGTAACGTACGACACTTTGATAGTGTCGATCCAATGCCGTTCACAAGACTAGTCCATTATGTGGTTACCTTTTATCCCGCAGATACCTATTCTCTGAACTACACACCTGCCCCCTGTTGTGTTGTGTCAATTTTGATTACACCTAAGGGGGTCGGCGTGGTCGAGTCGGTAAAGCTCATGGTTGCTAAACCGAAAAGTCTCGAGTTCGAACCCTCGGGCAGATGAGGCTCGTTAGCTCCAAAATCAAATAACTGTTGCCCTGTAGCTTGTTCTTGGTTGGACAAAGGCTATGGAAGCAAATCTAAAAAGAAAAGCAGGCTGAAATCGGAGTCAATGGCCTCAATGGCGCATAACCAGTTGACACGTATCCTTAATTGTGTTGGAGATAAATCTCGATCCCTTTCAACACTAAAAATTAAGAACGAAGAAGAAGAAGAGATTACACCTCCACTAAATTAAACACCTTTTCCCTGATCCAGATTTGTTGTTTTTATTTTTTTTTGTTTACCTTACATTTCCAGTTTACCGATTTTCCAAACTACAAACTATCCCCAAATTCAAGTGTAATGTTTTCACTTTGTTGATTACCTTTAATCCCCAGGTACCAACTCTGTAAACTACACACCTGTCCCCCCCAGGTGTATTATTTTCACCTTTTTGATAACCTTTGACCCCAGGAACCAATTCTCTAAACTACACACATTTCCCCATATCCGAGTGTGATGTTTTAACCTTTTTGATTAACTTTAATTCCCAACACACAAGCGTCCCCTCAGGTGTGTTATTTTCACCTTGTTGATAACCTTTGACCCCCAGGTACCAATTCTCTAAACAACACACATGTCCTCCCCCCCCTCCCATGTGTGTTTACACCATGTTGATAACCTTTCACCCCCAGGTGCCAAATTTCTAAACTACACACCTGCCCCCCCCCCCCCCCCAGGTATGTTATTTTCACCGTGTCGATTACCTTTGACCCCCAGGTACCAATTCTCTAAACTACAACCTTTACCCCCCCCCCCAGGTGTGTTATTTTCACCTTGTTGATAACCTTTGACCCCCAGGTACCAATTCTCTAAACTACTGACAGGCTCCATCACAGACAAGACAGTGAAATACGATTACACATCCGTCATGCACTATGGAAGAAATGTAAGTAATGTAATTTAAATCACCATAAAGTAAAAAAATAAAATAATCAGCATTGAACTAACCTTAACGATTCTAATCCCACGCACTAAACACCACTAATTTAGAAATATCGTTATTAAATAATTAATTTTGTTTTTGTTGGTATTTTGCCTTTCAATTATCCACGGATAGTATTTTTTTCTTAAATCTTTCTGTTGTTTAATTATATTAATTTGATATACAGTTGATGTCTTCTTCAATGCTTATAAAAACATAAAATAAAAAATAAAAATCACGGCTGGTCAGTAACAAGATGCAAATAAGTTAATGAGTGAAGACATAATTATTTTTATCTTTAAAAAGTAAAAGTGCCTTATGTCATTAATGTATGCTCGCCTGTTGACGTTCAGTACCTCTCTACATTATAACTAATGATCAGACCTACCTTCTATCCTTTAAGCCTCCTCTTTTAACAGTTTAATCCCCCCTCTCTCCATCCACCACTAACACCATGATCACTAACCCTCGACTGCTAACCCGAAAGTTACGAGTTCGAATCCTGGTTCAAGTCGGTAGATCGTCTTAGAGTAATAGAAACCGGTGAATACATCATTTACCCCGTGGACCATCATATTCGAAAAAAAGGAACGTTACTATTCACCTTTTGTTACCGTTTTTAACCTTTGGAATAGTCATTTTTTTTAGCTTTTTACTCCTTTGTCATATTCTTATACACTCTACACCCCTCCCAGCCGTCAACAACTTTCTACCAGTTACCTTAACCACAGCAAAAGCCCCCCCCCCCCCCCCCCCCTCACAATGGCTCCCACTTTTATACATACATTCAACCTTGGGATAACAATACATAAACACGCGGGGTTAAACTCAACTCACAGACGAGCTACCCCTAACTCCTAGACTATTGTCAGCGGCGTAGCGAGGCGGGGGGGGGGGGGGGGGGGGCGGGGAATGCGGACTGCACCGGGTGACACCATTTCTGGGGGGGGGGGGTGACACCAAGACACAAAATTGCAAGATTTATAGAATAAACATGTTTTTTTGCCAGTTCAATGAATGGTTAATTAGAGTTAAAAAGTATTTAAAGTACATAATTACGATCCTGACGAGGGAGGGAGGATGTGACACCATGATGTAAACATGCAAACTATAGAGAAAACAATGCTACACCCAGCTGTATTTACAACTGACTCCAGATAAACATCATTAGTGTTAAAGGTATTTAATGTTAATACTTCAAAGCTTTTACCGGTAGGAATGGAGGTGGAACCAACTGCAAAATTTACAGATAAAATTAAGGGGGGGGGGTGTGACACCATGAGGTGCCGCATCGGGTGCCACCCGACCTAGCGACACCACTGACTATTGTAACTTAACCCACAAATGAACCGTGACAGTCTCGCCTCCCCCCTCCCCTGTTACGTCACTTGCATACTAATTAGCCTGGCCTAACAGCCTTACACCGAGTGACATGAAACATTAATTTTAAAACGAAATCGAATCTTTGTAGTACCAATACCAGACAAAGGAAAAAAACAAAACTATAACATTCCTACAAATGAAACAATACAATGCCCACATCAAAGAAAAACGAAACAATCGACCTAAGAAGCTGTACCTCATTAAACTTTCAAAGTGGAGAATTCCAGCGCCATAGCCGTCGTCGATTTTTCGCATTGTTTATCAGAATATCGATACCGCGTATCGGTTACCCCTTATCATCCGACGAGTCACGTGTCACCGTGACGTCACTGGCCTGCCAGGCATACCAGTCGATAAAATAATTGCATTAGTCATTATTCCCTGTCATTGAACCTCGAAGACCTCCCCCCCCCCCCTACCATGGCCGGGCGATACGGAGTAAACACATTTATTTCTGGGGCAGGTCGATAAAATAAATTTGATTAGAGGGCGATTGATGGCCCGTAGCAGAGGAGTCCCAGTATACACATGTGTAAATGCAGGGCAAGGGGAGATGATTCAAGGGAGGCTATTTAAGAAGTTAAAATAGATTTCTTTTTCTTTTAACTGTACGTTCATGAAAAATTGATACAAGGTGTATAGATAATTAGGGTACGTCAACCATTAAACTAAATTTATGCTTGCCCTGTAGGACGTCCCTGAGTCCACCCAGTAAAGGTGGCTGGGCATAGTGCTGACCACACCATCCCTTCAAGAAACATATCAACTCTACTTCGTCTGCCCAATGGATCGCTCGGTGTAAAAAGGAATCTACTCAAAAGGCCTTTATAGAAAAGATTATCATACCTCCCACACTTATCTTTACTTTTTTTTTAACAATTACTGCAACTTGGCGATAAAATACTGTTTTGTTTCTTTAAATGTTATCTCTAATCAGTGAGATTCTATTGAATTAAAACCATTGTCTACCTATGGGGAAAAATATTTCTCCTACCTATTTCACCCGCCCCGTTTTAATATACTTAACTAGCTTTCACGTTCTCCGCTCGTAAGGATCCACCAGTATTTCGCCAGGTCACCTGATCTGACCACTCTACCCCCACCCCCAGTATTTCGCCAGGTCACCTAATCTGACCACTCTACCCCCACCCCCAGTATTTCGCCAGTTCACCTGATCTGACCACTCTACCCCCACCCCCAGTATTTCGCCAGGTCACCTAATCTGACCACTCTACCCCCCCCCCCCACCCCCAGTATTTCGCCAGGTCACCTGATCTGACCACTCTACCCCCACCCCCAGTATTTGGCAGGTCACCTGATCTGACCATTCTACCCCCACCCCCAGTATTTCGCCAGGTCACCTGATCTGACCACTCTACCCCCACCCCCACCCCCAGTATTTCGCCAGGTCACCTGATCTGACCACTCTACCCCCACCCCCAGTATTTCACCAGGTCACCTGATCTGACCACTCTACCCCCCACCCCCCCCCCAGTATTTCGCCAGGTCCCCTGATCTGACCACTCTACCCCCACCCCCAGTATTTCGCCAGGTCACCTAATCTGACCACTCTACCCCCACCCCCAGTATTTCGCCAGTTCACCTGATCTGACCACTCTACCCCCACCCCCAGTATTTCGCCAGGTCACCTAATCTGACCACTCTACCCCCCCCCCCACCCCCAGTATTTCGCCAGGTCACCTGATCTGACCACTCTACCCCCACCCCCAGTATTTGGCAGGTCACCTGATCTGACCATTCTACCCCCACCCCCAGTATTTCGCCAGGTCACCTGATCTGACCACTCTACCCCCACCCCCACCCCCAGTATTTCGCCAGGTCACCTGATCTGACCACTCTACCCCCACCCCCAGTATTTCACCAGGTCACCTGATCTGACCACTCTACCCCCACCCCCCCCCCCCCAGTATTTCGCCAGGTCCCCTGATCTGACCACTCTACCCCCACCCCCCCCCACCCCCAGTATTTCGCCAGGTCACCTGATCTGACCACTCTACCCCCACCCCCAGTATTTCGCCAGGTCACCTGATCTGACCACTCTACCCCCACCCCCAGTATTTCGCCAGGTCACCTGATCTGACCACTCTACCCCCACCCCCAGTATTTCGCCAGGTCACCTGATCTGACCACTCTACCCCCACCCCCAGTATTTCGCCAGGTCACCTGATCTGACCACTCTACCCCCACCCCCCAGTATTTCGCCAGGTCACCTGATCTGACCACTCTACCCCCACCCCCAGTATTTCGCCAGGTCACCTGATCTGACCACTCTACCCCCACCCCCCAGTATTTCGCCAGGTCACCTGATCTGACCACTCTACCCCCACCCCCACCCCCAGTATTTCGCCAGGTCACCTGATCTGACCACTCTACCCCCACCCCCAGTATTTCGCCAGGTCACCTAATCTGACCACTCTACCCCCACCCCCAGTATTTCGCCAGGTCACCTGATCTGACCACTCTACCCCCCACCCCCAGTATTTCGCCAGGACACCTGATCTGACCACTCTACCCCCCACCCCCAGTATTTCGCCATGTCACCTGATCTGACCACTCTACCCCCACCCCCAGTATTTCGCCAGGTCACCTGATCTGACCACTCTACCCCCACCCCCAGTATTTCGCCAGGTCCCCTGATCTGACCACTCTACCCCCCACCCCCAGTATTTCGTCAGGTCCCCTGATCTGACCACTCTACCCCCACCCCCAGTATTTCGCCAGGTCACCTGATCTGACCACTCTACCCCCACCCCCAGTATTTCGCCAGGACACCTGATCTGACCACTCTACCCCCACCCCCAGTATTTCGCCAGGTCACCTGATCTGACCACTCTACCCCCCACCCCCAGTATTTCGCCAGGTCACCTGATTTGACCACTCTACCCCCACCCCCAGTATTTCGCCAGGTCACCTGATCTGACCACTCTACCCCCACCCCCAGTATTTCGCTAGGTCACCTGATCTGACCACTCTACCCCCACCCCCAGTATTTCGCCAGGTCACCTGATCTGACCACTCTAACCCCACCCCCTAGTATTTCGCCAGGTCCCCTGATCTGACCACTCTACCCCCACCCCCAGTATTTCGCTATGTCACCTGATCTGACCACTCTACCCCCACCCCCACTATTTCGCCAGGTCACCTGATCTGACCACTCTACCCCCCCCCCCCAGTATTTCGCGAGGTCACCTGATCTGACCACTCTACCCCCCCCCCCCCCAGTATTTCGCCAGGTCACCTGATCTGACCACTCTACAGACAACTGACCGCCGCTACCAGGATATCATTGGACGTGCCGAGAAGCCTTCGTACAATGACGTGGAGACGGTCAACAGACTCTACCACTGTGCAGGTAATGACATGATCAGACTCTACCACTGTGCAGGTAATGACATGATCAGACTCTACCACTGTGCAGGCAATGACATTATCAGACTCTACCACTGTGCAGGTAATGACATTATCAGATTCTACCACTATGTAGGTAATGACGTGTAATTGTAGTACAAGTAAACATCATAACATACGAGCTGTGGGGGAAAAAGTTTTTTTTTTTAAATTACTTATTCCTAGGGTCGAAACGTCAGTTCCATGTTTAGTTCCTTATTAGCGTTTTTATACAAGAGAAACTAACCTAAATGTGTTGTTTTTATGTTTTACAATTTTAGACGTAATACATTTTAGTAATGCACGCTGGTAATATACATATCTATAACTTTTTGATACCATCAATGTTGGTGTAATAGACTATCCAATCATTTTACCTAAGTTGATAAAACAGAACATGTGATCAATTATGAAGATAATTAAACCTTTATCATCAAAATACTCATTATTTACATAGATCTAATTAACTAATGAACACTGAATTCCAATTATTCTACCTGTGTTTTAGCGGGGTGTCACCAGTCTATACAGTGTGGAGATCTTTGTTACCTGGACAATACCTGTACCTGTAAATGTCCTGCAGTCATCGAGAAAGCTTCACCAAACGGTAACTAATTAAGCAATTATTAAACTCACATCAACCCCATTTATTAAATCTTCTATATGATCTTCGATTAATAAACATCACTCTTTACTTAGGATTCAAACGTGGTGTGCGTGGCAAAAACCCTGTAGGAATTTCAGGTCTACGATATTACTCCCTGTCAATTACCCACCTCTATAGAATGCTAAACAAAGCAACAGGCAGTGTTAAATAAACTTATTCCCTACAGAAAATTAGCTAACTATATCCCAAATCCTAACCCTGACCCTATCATTACCTGCGTTTATCGATAGGTTTATTGTTAACTTCAGTTATCTTGGTTAGGGAAAATGGTGGGAGGGGGGGGGGGGGGGGGGGGAGAGGAAAGGGTAATAACCTGGGTGGCAGGGGGCGATTGACTTTCTTTTGTGTATTTCAGACCTTGCTATGTTTACGATATCTATAGCTAAAATCGTCCATGTATTTCGGACCCTACTCTCTATACGATTCAATTAACTTATCTCTAGCTAAAAGTAAAACCATCCGTGTATTTCAGACCCTACTAGCTATACGAGTTAAATAACTTATCTCTAGCTAAAACCATCCATGTATTTCAGACCCTACTAGCTATACGATTTAAATAACTTATCTCTAGCTAAAAGTAAACCATCCATGTATTTCAGATCCTACTAGCAATACGATTTAAATAACTTATCTCTAGCTAAAAGTAAAACCATCCATGTATTTCAGACCCTGTCCCGTCCCACAACAGCCTGCAAGATTCCACCTGCGATTTTTTCGCCAGCCGAGGCGAGTGTACAGGCAACATCAAGGACACGGTTCGCCCATTGTGCGCCAAATCCTGTGGGTTACAACAAGCCAAACTCAACAACCTCGCCTGGCCGGCGAACCCCCTCACCACCAACCAGCTCCAACCTAAACCAGCAACCTCTGTCTGGGGAACAACCCCTGAGGTACACAACAACCTACCAACATCTAATTCCAACAGCGACATCAACATCGTTAATGATATCCAACTTCTTATCAACGGAGAAACGCAATCCCTAGTTCGACCAAGATCCGGGTATCATACTACGCAGGAATTGCAGGAACAAACTCAAAGACTGGAGTTAGAGATCTCCCAACAGGCGCAAGACCGTCGCGCGGGGGTGAGGCAGTTTCCAGACAGCACCGCGAGTCAGAACATGAGAACTAATACAGGCGGGGGTAGTCTCTTGCATTCTTTGATAGCTGGAGGAGTGCCCAGACCGGGGGATGAACGAAACACCAGAGGTCAGATATACAGGCAAGCCAATGAGCATCTGCCCACCTCCGAGACAACCAAACATCACGTTCCCACCACCATCCTGGATGAAACTCTGCCTCCGGATTCGCAAAACGCGAACACTCCTTTTAACCCCATCACGAGTTATCAGTTTAACTCCAGCCCTTTGCAAAGACAACAGTTATCAATACAACAACAGCATTCACAGCTGCTACATGAACAGCAGAACCAAAGAGATATTTACGGTAAAAGCAGAGCAGGATTTCAGCTGTCTAGAACTAACCAGCACTACCCGAATGGGTTTGGAACCTACGAGCAAACTAGATACAACCAACAAAACGAAAATATTCACCAGTCATTCAGGGGAAATAACTTCTTCAACGGGAATTATTTTCCTTCGAATCGTAATCAAAACCAAAGGAACCCGCCATCCGAGAACATACCTCCAACTGACGTCACAGGTCCAGAATTTGGTCCATTTAACCCCGCGTCTCCCACCCCGGGTGATACTAACTTTAACAACGGACCAGATTTGAGCAGAACCTTGCAGACGATTGGTCCATCGTTTATGAAATCGGGTCCTCAACATTCTTATCTCGGCGAGTCGCGTCCATCCCAGGCTCACCAATCCGATACGTTCAACAAAAACTACAACGAGCCTCTGCCAACAGCGGAACAAAACGTGTATTATAGCGGCGTCCCGCAGCAGACGTTCGAACCCACTTTCTCAGACGGCAGCTTACGACCGCCTGGGTTAGACCCAACCACCATGCACGCTCCACATCCTCCCAACAATCCGGGCTACAGCAACACCGAACCGTTCATCGAGTCTTCGAGCTACGCCAACCAACCCGGGATCCCTGTTGACCAGACAACCCTTCTTAACAACCAGCCTAATCAGCAACAACCTGGAATATTCAACAACCGCATCGCCGCACAAAACATCTACAACAACAACAACGGAAACATGCACTCGCAGCCGCTGCCGAATTGGCAGCAACGTCAGCAACGGTTGCAAGATCAACGAAACCAACAACTTTTTCAAATGTTGCAACTGGCGTTCACGGACCCAACAGCCGATGTTGTAAATATACAACCAAACGACAACAACGTGCCAAATTATTCTTTAAATACAACACGCAGTTACCCCAATACAAAACAACAAGGAAGTATAACGTCGCTTTTTGACATACTGCGTTCTTCATTAGCTGATTCATCGCAAACAAGCTCGAATCAAAATCACGTTGTTGATAACCACGCGCGCGCCCACAACGGTGCTTTTGAGTCACAACCATCCTCGATATTGGATAATAACAATCGATTGCTATCCAGCGACATAAATTTGATTGGCAAACAATCGACTTCCGCCGTCCCTGTTCTAAATTTAGAACATTTCTACCTTGATAAACCAAACAATAGTTTCTCAGACCTAATATTTTATTTACTGTCTGAGTCTCACCAAGCAGGCCAAAAAGAAAATGGCGCCTCGTACTTGCCTAATTTGACGAAAGAAATTATGAGTATACCAATATCACACGAGAACTTTACAAGTGAGCAACAAAGTTTAACTTTAACAAAAGAAAATAAAATAGTATCGAATTCTCAAGCGACTATTTTAACATTGCCAGATATTTTGGCAGTTTCCAGTGCAAATAATCAAGGAAGCCACCCTCCAAAGGCTTAACAAAAAAAAAACAATCTCAGGAAAACACCAACCAATTGTGAAATGTTATTTCAATGTTTTATGCACTAAATTATTCCATGACTTGTTTGTTTAATATTAAACAATAAATTGGATGTTTCATTTTAGCCCTTATCCAGAGTGAATAATTTGTTGTTTCATTTGACATTTTAAATTTTTTTTGCAAGCATTAACTTCTTTTTTTGTGTTCTAACCGCTCCTTGTCTGTAAGGAGTTGTATCTTGTGATAGAAATGTCACTCACTCATAATGAACCGATTTGTATTATACTAAAACTTGTTGAAATATTAACACACATCTGGTTAAAATTAAGTGTACACATTTAGGTGACCTTATGTAACATCAAGGTGAGGTTGGTTTGAGGCATATACTCATGTCATACTTTCTTAAACTTAAAAGCTTTATGATGGGAAGGAGCCTTAGACAAACCATGCTGTAACTACTTAACTTTCACTCAGTATCTGACATCGATCTACATAGTTCATGCAATGATTGGGAAGGCAATATCCAGATCAAAGTTTACTGAACAAAATGGTTGTAAATGACAGTTGTCTTTACCTACATCATCACAAACAGAAAGCAAACGCCAGAATTTTATTTTCTAAATCAAAGTTTTATTATATTCCATCATTAAGTGCGAAGTTATAGTTGAGCAGTAATAATAATATTAAAGAGCAGGGTTAGGCAACATTTGAATACAAACAAAAGAAAAATATGAGTAATGTACACAGGGAAGCAGGAAGGGAATTCCCCTTCACTACTTGGCCACACTTTGAAAGCAAATTGTTGCACAACTGTTTTACTACTCTAATCAGTTCATCCCTTGACCCTCCCAAAGACCCTATCTTGACACACTAACCCAATTTTGTATTGTTCACTCCCCAAAAATGTAAAGGATAGATTTGTTCAACCTGTCAATACTATACTCCACCAGATTTGATGGACTGGTATTAAAAAGTAACCAATGGTCTATTATAATACAAGCTGGCTGGTGACTAGTGACACACAAAGCAACAAGGAATGCTGGCTGTGACTGAAATAAATGGTTCAAGCATTTTATTGCAACTTGGGATCATGTCAACTTATTCTGTCAGCAATTTCCCCTCAATTATTAACAACAACAAAAAATCCCTACAAATGTATACATAGAAATTGACAAGTTTTGCAAGTACATGAACTACACAAAAAGAGTTTGACCTAGAACTTGCAATCAATATTAAAAATAAAAAAAAAACACATTACAATCAATCAAATTTAGAATGGACTAGTACCAAAGAAATTAAAACACAAAGTTAAAAAAAAAATAATAATCATGCAAGATATAGAGAAATAAAATAAAAATTGTCATGCAGATCCATAATAAAATTTTTAATACAAATATTCCAAAAGTTTCCAATGCTGCACATAATAGTAGAAAGATGATAACCTCACACATATACATTGTAGCTATACTTCCTAAAACTTTGGTCATCCTACTATCCATACATGGACAATTTAAAATGAGTTATCTCATAACTTTGAAGTACACTAAACTAAGTGCCTAATGTGAACTGTTTGTGGTTCTGCTAGGAACAATCAACATTCATTCAGATGGTGTCTCCACAAATGGATGTTGTCAATCAGACTGACAATGCTACAGATGGTATCTCCTCAACTAATGGATTGGCTGACAATGCTGACCCACTTGAAAACAAGTGGTTTGAATAGTTGATGGAATGCTCTTGTCCTTGATCCCCTCAGCTCTAGAATGTGCTGAGACCGTTGTATTATTACTGATCATAAATGGATTTTTTTAAAAAACTACCCTACAATCCATCTGTTAAAAGTGAAGATTTTAGCACAGGCATTAAAAAAAAGCCTTCATTGCTTTACAATACATGTAGATATATATAAGTCATCTTTCTGTATAAAATTCAGGCACATGACAAAACCAGCAAAATATGAGCAAAAAGCAGGCCGCTGAAAAGGCAGTTAGATGTTGACAATAGGGGGTGAGAGAATACATTTGTAAGCACCAACCAAGTCATGGTACAGCAAGCTAACACTCTACGACTAAATAGTGTGATGTAAACTGTCTTATATGAAAAAAGATTTCTCCAGTGTTAATATCAAATAAATGTATACATATATAAATATTTCAGTTGATTGATTGCACTGTTTTTAATAGGGAAGATAATCAATTGCACAGACCTCATATTGCATTTAGTTGAGTGTCATCTTTGATACTAGCACAACCACATTGTGGACTAGCTTAGATAATATCCTACAACTGCCAGATCTTTAAGCCATTTAGCTATGAAATGTGTTACAAGTGTTAAGCTATGGTTACATCTCAACTAAAAATACAGCAGAAGAAGCAGCAGTCCCATGCAGCAATAGAAAAAATACTTAAAGCTAATGAACACAGCAGGGAACATCAGCTTTTCACATTAACAACTTTAAAATATCAAACAGCATTAAGTCATTGGAATAAACAATTTTGGATACAGTAATGTCAGTAAAATAGAACATCTGACTGTAGATGAAATACCATTAAATTTTGTTTAAAAAAAGTAATATCAATAACTGTGAAAGCAAAACCCTTTAGTGAATAAAGCACCAATATAGCAAATAAGATTCACAAGCTAATAAGATTTCAGATTTTGATTTGGCAATAAAATAAGTACTTCATTATTGAGTATAATCACAAAATATTGTCAAGTAGTAATACAAGTTTTATGTCAAATATAAGAGTTAAAATGAAAACTTTAAAATGAGTTTGTTTTGATTAGATAAGCAAATACTGATTTGACTAATACGTTAATAATTAAAAGTTAAATAAAATAATACTAATGCAAAGTAAATACATTACGTGGAACTAAACGAGATTAAAACCGGCTTAGCAATGACTAAAACACTAAGTACAATTTACATACAAATTTAAGTAGTGTTAGAAAAAGGACCACTGCTTACAAAACAGATCAAGGTAAAACACCCAAAAACATCTAACAGAAAACTCATGGCAAGAGATGATCCTAAGGAGAAAAACTTTGTACATGAGAACTTATCAAGCAGTTCAAAACAAGTAGGGTAGCTTCATGCTAAAATAGTGTCTAAATTAACAAACAATTGCCATATAAAAAGGTTTTTAAAATACATTCACAGTAGTTGATTTTAAAATTTGTTATGATCTGTACATATTTAAAAAAAAACCATCACAACAGATTTTGTTATAAAAATGATAAAAATTGGTCCTATAAGTTAGCCTTACTTTTGTGCAATACTTTAAAAACAAATACAACATAAAAACTTCATACTAATCCACTGTTAAAAATAAGTAAAAACTGAGCCATGAAAAACTTGGAATATGAAAAATGGAATTAAGTACATCAGATTGCTTTCAAGATAAGAAATTCCTGTTGTATTGCCAGTCTTTGGACTGTATGCAAAAGGAATATCTACTATTTGTTCTATAATTTCCTTTCTGTTAAACAATTTTAACAAGGTAATTTATCATACAGGTAAGTAAAGCTTGTGTCATTTGGCTCACGATTTGGATTTTTTTTTAAAAAGAAGAGATAAAACAGGCTAAAATAGAATAAGGCATCAAAATCAGTAAGCTGATGTGCTCAAACTTATGGGACATCAATTTGTAAACAAACAATAATTCATAACACAATTCTTCAATTGGACAGGCAAATAGAAACAAAAACAGAAGTAGTTATATCCCTATCTGTATGGGTATTATTGTCTTGTTTTTTTTATTTTAAAAAGAGGCCACAAAAAGTGACTTATTTGGTATTAAAATAACAATGTTTATATGAAAGTGGAAATTTGAACAATGTAACAAGCAAGTAAACTATGGCATTGTTACAAGTTTCAACATAATTTTTAATGTACACAGAGTAAAACCAAACCAAAGCTAAAATTATGGACGAAATGGACATAGCAAAAGGTTTACAATGAACTAAAACAGTTGCTACCTTCAATGTAAAATTGTCATGTTGCTGGCTTACAAAAACATACAACAAAATGCTTGTCCAGGAGAGAGGGAACTATTTAAAAATATGTCAAAAGAAAAAAAAAACAACTTGCAGATGCTGCTAAAATCAGTAAAGAATATATAGAGTGGACTCATTCAAACACTGCAAAAGCATGCAAACACCCTCCAGCTAAACAAAGAAAGTGAACTAGTTGTCAAGAGATCATCCAATACAGCTCAAAGCTTACAATCTCAACAAGCCTATCCATTTGTTGCCAATGTCGACAATAACTTGCCAGCATATCAGACACATATTTATCCATCAATGCATTATAACCCACAAAAAGATTTCCAAATGCATACACCATTTACACAATCAATGCTAGTGGGCTATGTATAAAGATGGGGCTTATGTCATCAAACACGCGATTTTTTAAAGTAACATTTTCAAATATATGCACAATAAACAAAAATATTTCCATACAAATTAATATTTCCCCCCATAATGATTTAAAGTTAGCACTGGCACAGAGAAAGCAAATACAACAAACTATTATTCAATTAATTAATTAATCTGAAGACAATTTTAATAGCTAACAAAGAACCTATTTCCAAATTCCCCACCCTTCCATGAAAAAACCAAGTAGGCTGACAAATGCTTTTACCTTACTGGACTGTGTGAAATATGTGATTATTTAATTCTCTGCCTTTTCTTCCACTGTTTCTGTTGGGGCTTCTGTTTTGATCTCTTCTGTGGCAGGTTTCTCCTCCTCTTTCTTCTCTTCTTCCTCTTTCTTTTCCTCAGGCTTGTCTTCAGTTTTCTCTTCTCCTTTCTCTTCTGTTTTCTCACCATCTTCCTCTTTCACATCACCATTTTCTTTTGGCTTCTCCTCGATTGTTTCTTCTTTTTTCTCTGTTCCTTCTTCTACTTTGGTCTCTGCATCAGCAGCAGCGGCTGCACCCTGGTTGCGCACCCTCTTGGGCTTCTTGACTAGACCCTTCTCAACAAGAACATTGGCCTCTTCAATGATGGTCTCCTTCACATCCCTGGGTGTAATACCTAACACATCCTTCATCTGAAAATAATACAATCTTAGATTAGGAAAGACAACTCAAATGGTCTAAAAAAATACAATATTATCAAGAATAAGATAATCTTCAAAGTAAATGTTGAAAAATACGCACCCTTGCATTATCAAACTGGCTTTGTTTACCAACAATAGGTAAGAATGTTTTTGCGGTCTTGTTGAACAAACTCAACCCCCAAAGAGCAACATTAGGGAGGCTCATGGTGTGAATACTGTAACCTGAAAGAAATAATTTTAAAACTTACACTATATTGTCAAAATAAACTTTCAGGTAATAATATGCTTGATTAAAAATGATGAATACAGAGAGAATTAAAAAAAAAAGACTGCATAATTAAAAAATAATCAACTTAGACCAACCTTGGGGCTTGAACTCTTTAGCCAAGGCCAAAGCAATATCCTTCATCCATAAATTTCCACCATGAAGAATGTGGCGATTCCCTGATAAAAAAAAACAATCTCAATGTCTGACGAGTACTTCACTTAAAATGCTAGCCCCCTATATTTTAACGCCAGTAGCTATAGACTTGCTAAAATTGACACCCACCAGAAGCACTATCAAGCTCCAGAGCCTTAACATGGGCAGCAGCCACATCCCTGACATCTACAACAGAATAGGAAACTCTGGGACATCCAGTAATGCCCCGATCCAAGAGCATTTTTACAACCTGGGAACAAAGAAGAAGAAAAAATTGGATATACAATAAAAAAATTACCATGTCAAAAAGCTAAAATATTAAATGGAGTTAAGCCTGTACAAACTTACATCTGGCTGAGCATCAAGAAGTGGTGGCCCAAGTGGTAATGTAGGATTCATAACACAGAGATCAATTTTATCTGCATCTAGAGGAAATATATTTTGATGTTTAGCAACGTATTATATCTATAACTAACAAAAATGTAATTTCCCATAGAATGATTATTGGGCAAATATTTAATCCAAACTTAATGGAAATTTAAGAGCATACAAATGTAATGTACCTGTAAGTTCCTTAACAAAGTCCCATGCAGATTTTTCAGCGAGAATGAGAGACTTGGTAAGAGGTTCCGCTGTCTCAGCATCTGCCCAATCAGCTTCAGTGAAAACTTTATCTGTGGCTGCTGTGGGTCCAGCTGCAGATTAAAAACAAAAATGAGTTCAGTTAAATCAAGTTTAAAATTGTATGGAAAGTTACTGAAAGTTAGCTGAAAAATACTACATTATGACCAAACCTCACATACCTGTAATTGTCTGATATGAGCTTGTGAGCACAATTCTTTTGACTGTCTTAGCACCAACACTGGCTTTGAATACATGCTGTACAGCATCAACTGCAGGCTGTACTGGTGCTTCACCATCAGCAGCAGGAGGTAAAGCTGCTATCGGTTTTAATGCATGAATTACAAACTGGACTTCTTTCATTGCACTGAAGAAAAAAAACAAATACAGAATAAAAGAATGTGGGGTTTGGTAAAGCTTGATCCTAGCAACAGAAAAAATAATATATATATATATATAAATTCTCCAGATCAAAGCTGTAATTTTTATTTGACTTAAGCAAAGCAGAGTAAATAAAAGGGGTTCATAGAATAGACTAATTTGATGCTTACCTCTCCCAAGCTTCTGGCTTGGCAGGATCAACTTCCACAACCTCCAGCTTATATTTGGCTTCAGGAACAAGTTCCTGTAAAACTTTGATTCTAGCATCTTCGTCTTGCAGGGATGCAACAGTTCCCCTCACCTGGTACCCTTCATCTTGTAACTGCTTGATAATGTGAGCAGATGTGAAGCTAGTAGCATCTGTAACTAGGACCACTGAAAGCACAAAATTGGAACAACATATTTTAAGGAGCAGGTAACACAAGTAAACAAGTATGTATCCAGTTAAGCCAAAGCACTGGTCAATGTTAATTCATAAAACCATATTAGCTTAAAATATTGAGATAGCCACTAAAAATTCAAATTATTCGTATATTCTAATGAAGTGTGCAGACAGTAGCCAAGCATTTCCATCCTGCAACAAGCCAGAGCATAAAAGAGAAATTAAAAAATCAATAAAATCAATAATATAATTCTTTTCATCCCAGACCCATTCAGCTTGTGATGGTAGGATTTTAAACACACTGCAGCAAAGCGTTACAGGTTTCAGAGTAATGTGGTGAAAAGGTTAGTAAAAAGAAGAGATTCATCAGACTTCAAATAGACTATCAGAAAAATATATTTTAGAACAGAACTATGACAAAATGAAAAAGGATGAAAAGAATGCAGGACTAGAAAAACATATACATTATAAACCCTCAATGATTAAGACTGAATATGATCTACTGCTAAGAAATGTAGTCTGACTAGAATCATGATAGCTAACCCAAAATGTCTGGGAAGATAAGGCTCATTAGTGCTGGGGATAGCAACTCATCTAGAAGAGAAATCAAACAACTGCTGCCTTGCAGACTGTTTTAAGTTGAACCATGGCAATGGAAACAACTCAGAATAAAAAAAAACAGACTGACACAATAATCACTGTGGAGAAAACCACCTCCAATAAAGCAATCAAGAACTACAAAGATATCTACCACATGTATATTTCCTAACTAGCTAGTTATAACAAAAAATTGCCTTACTGGAACACACAAGCTAAATTTACCAAGCATGTCAGCAAATGACATCACCTACATGATCAATCACCTATGACTCAGCATTGATTGTATAGAAACCATCCTAGAACATCATTTCTAATGACATGACCTAGCAGTATAAAAACACCCGCCAACAGCACATACCATTATTGACCCATTGAAATTACTTAAGGGTCTGAATATATTATTAAAATGCAATCAATAACTTGTTTTTAAAACATCTCTAAACAGCTTACAACCCTATTACCATATTCTTCAAAATAAAGAAAATAGGATGGTACATGTAAATTAAAGAACTGCAATATCTACCTTAAAAATGCTACCCATCCTGCCCCAATAGCTGACCCACCCATCACTCAGACATAAAGCTGCCTAGGCTCAGCCACTCTCAGTCCCACAATGCACCGAGATATTGATTATTTATAGCAGTCTGGTTCCACAGCCAGACTCCACATTCACATCTCCTGTGCTACAACTAGATTAGCGCCATGTACAAATAAAGATAATAGCAACTAATTCAAACCTTACAAGTAATTGATTTTATACTATATAAAAGTTGACCATTTTATTTCAAATCACAAAATAACTTCTACAAAACTGATAAAATAAAAATTGTATATAAATTAAAATATATTATGGCAAATATTCTCCTTATAATTTTAGGTAATAGGCTTTTGCTGCACTAAATTACTTCCATGTAAAAGTTACAGTGACACAAAAGGCATTGCCTTTAGCATAGCCACTTCACTGTGAAGTAGTATAAGTAGGAAATCTGCAGTCATTAAAACTAGCGCAGTCCTCAGTAATAAAGTATTTACATCCATGTATATTTGAAGTCCATGTGTTGAACACACTAGCAGCTAATGATTCCCATACAAGCAAACCATTATTATACCAGATACAGTAGTGTTATATAACTGTACATGTCGACATTCCCTGATCATTATTAGCCCTAAACATTTTGCCCTTCTTACTAATTGTGTGTATAAGGTTAACAACATCAGCCCATTACAGATATGCCCTTTTGTTAATCATGCACAATCTACATAACTCCACCATTCTTTTAGCAAGCCTTATCCAGACAAAAAATTGTGTATGTTAACAGGCTTCAACTTAAAACAGTATTGCAAAATAAAAATATCAATAATTCATGACTTGTCTTAAAATATATTGAAACACTTGTGTGATAACAAGGCACATCAATTTACTACAGACATGATGTGAAAACAATAGCAATTTAAAGTGGTAATAAACTGAGTAAAAAATAGATTAACACAAGAACAAAAAAAAATAATTGAGAATTAACAGACTAAAAAATGGTATGTCAGGTTGAATTCAGCTGGACAAAAGATGAAGAGTCATGGATAGACTTAGATACAAAGTTAAAAGTGAAAATTACACTTACAATAACAAACAAAAAATAACCTTCTAAGTAAGTTTTAATTATTTACAAACAAGTTAGTAGCAGACAGTATAAGGAGAAACAATTGAAAAAACAAACAGAAATTATACCTGTTGAACGAGACTACAGTAAAAAGTAGTCATGGCTAACAGACATCCGAACACTACATTATGAATATTAGGTCTATAAAAACAACAAACTAAACTAGGAAAATTGTTTAAAAATGGAGGGGAATCTAACTAAAGAGATTGGGGAGTAATCAATGTAAGCCCACACTTGGTAGTTTTATAGTTCAAAAGAGAAGGACCAAAAAGACACTGGTATCTTTCAAAAGCCTGTTCACCGACATGTACTAAGCATATAAGATGAAATGGTAAAGCTAAGTTTTTAAAGAAGAAAAAAACTAAACACCATGCCAATTTAATATTTTGCTCTGATAAAACTGCAGGATCAGGTTTTATGCTTGTAATACTTTTAGTTACAGCAAATAGGACTACCATGCCTGTCTTGGTTGCAATAAACCACTACTGGCCCCCCACCGACAAAATAGAAAAAAATAGAATGATATTTATGCTTAAGTAGGCCTATATAGATCTTATCTAAACAGTGTTGTGTCTGCCCTCAGGAAATTTTAAGTGCCCCCTTACGCCACGCGAAAATATTACTGAACTGATAAATGAATAGGCCTACTTCAAATAAGATTTAATAAAAAGAACAATAGCCTGGCCTATATGATGGTTTTTTTAAAGGTATCTGGCATTGCTCTGCTAGTTAGATGGCATATGCTTGTCATTAGCTAATATTCAGTATAAATTAGTTCTAGATCTAGATCTAGTTACAAACTGAGAGTTACAAACTAATCCTCAGTGCAACTATCTACGCAATAGTTATGCCTAACCCTTGTAATTTCTTAGTTGATTTGCCTAGGCCAATATGACTTGTTGGCCTACCTTAGCCCCATAGTATAATTGCAGATCTTCAGTTCTATAACAAATTACTCATCGAGAGAGACTGGTGAACAGAAAGAATGTAGATATCTAGAATCTAGACGTCTAGATCTAAGTCTACTGAAAGGAAAATCACTTAATGACTCCCTCTGGAATCTGAACATAAACCCAATTTAAATTAGTTAGGCCTAAGAATTTTCCATTTTGAGATCTAATCTAGATCCAGAAATCTAGATCTAGACCTAGATCTAGATAGATAGTTAGATACTCAATAGATCTAGATTCTAGATCTAGATTCTAGTTTAAAATTAATTAAAATTTAAAATGAGGGAAAAAAATTAAATAGGTAGAGTCTAGAATCTAGATTCTAGATCTGATTTCTAGATAGAATTCTAATAAGAAAAGGAATTGGGATAGAAAGAAATAGATCTAGAATCTACTAGATCTAGAATTAACAAAGGTAGACCAGGCTGAGCAGTGCGAAATTACACTGACTCATCAAGACGTTTTTAATAGAGCCGACGCCGGCCGGATGATTTTTAAAAATTCGAAATCATGCTTGCTCTGAGAGCTCTTGTCTTGGTAGACTACATCTCCTGGACTAAAAAGCCCAAACTACTTTTTAAAACAACTTTCCAACACATAGATCTACCATCTAAATTAAGATCTAGGTTTAGATAAAAGTTTTAATTAAAAAAAAGAAAAAGATATGCAGTTGGAGCATGAATCACTCAGAAATGGCCAGTGGCATGTGACCATGCGAAAGGAATTTCGGCACCGCAGCAGGCATGCATGAAACTGAGATGTACTCACGCATCTCATAAATGAGTGTTTATCAAGTGAAGTTAAAGGAATTTGAGCGATATAATTAACATAATGGGGTTAACATAGAAAGATTTAAAATGAACTCACATGAAGCCATGGTTAGTCTAAAATAATGCGTGCAGTGTCAGTCTTCTTTCTTTTATCACTTCCAGCTCAGCATCAGCTACTGACCTACTTTCAATCTAGGATGCTGAGAGTGGCCAGGTACTTGAAGTGAAAATGATGTATTCTCATTTCATTTATTACTTTTTAGACCGTTTTTCAACTTATAATTATTCTATAATTAAAAGCATGCGTACATACTCGATAAATAAAATAAAACACATGTTAAAATTATCTGTACAAGGAATATTGTTAATTAACTCATGTAATCTACAATTTAAATGAATAAATGTAAAATAATAATATAATCACAATTCATATTTTTAATAAAACAACGGTCGGCCTGCTTAGTTAAATATAATTTTCTAAAATATAACATGAAAAATAATTGTACGAAACATTAATAAAAATCTTTTTAAACGATTATTTTATATCTTGTGATCTGTGCAGAATTTTAAAAAATCAGAAATTTCAAAAGTGACAACATGGCAGGTTCGAAATCGAGGCTGGCATTAATTCCAGAAATATTTTCTAAGCAGTGACACAAAAAAGAAATACGGAAGCCGGTGGCATGTTAAAAATGCAAGAATGAAGGGTCCAATAAATTCTAGATGCCCGCAGAAATTCTATCCCTGCCTAGTGATATTATGTTACTAAGGACGTATCAAAATGTTAAGAGTTAAAAAAAATCCATTACAATAGGTATTTTATTTCTTTTGGTTAGTTACTACAAACTATTATTTCCAAGGCCCCACACATGTATGATAAAGCCTTCATGTTGGCTAATTAAATCTTAATCATCAATAATTAGAACGTATATTCAGTAGCGCCGCTAGGTTGGGTGTCACCCGGTGCGGCACCTCAAGGTGTCAAACCCCCAAACAAATTATTACACACATACTCATATATATATATATATATATATATATATATATATATATATATATATATATATATATATATATATATATATATATATATATATACGGTCAACATAGGCCTATATATAGTTGCAATTGGTGTCACCCACTCCCATTTTGCCTAATGAATTTTTTTGAACGCACATTATATTAATCCAACTTTTAATTCAAGTGCAAAAATCATCGTTTTCATCGTAAATTATTAGATTTTGGCGTCACCCTCCCTAGTCGTTTTTCCAAATACTCAACAAAACCTTCTTTCCTCTGTAAATGTTGCAGTTTGTGCTTTCCCCCCCCCCCCCACTCCGGGTGATAGTTTTAAAGTGTACACAATTAATATAGATGTCTAATATCCACAGTCAGTTATTAACATTTTTGTGGAACAACTCTAATTAACCCTTAATTGAACTGATAAAAAAGCGTATTTCTTCTATATATTTTGCAAGTTTTCGCCATGGTATCACCCCCTAAATGGTGTCACCCGGTGCCATTATTTCCTTTTTTCTCTGGAGGGGGGGGGGGGCACTTGACATTTTCGGGGAAGGAGAGGGGGCGAACTAAATTTTCAGGGGGGGGGGCGGCAGACACTCTTAAAAGTAAATATAATCTATATAAATTAAATCTCGTTCAACTGAAGAGATGCCTGGAAGAAACTCTAACCGGTGCGATCCGCACCCCCCCCCACCCGCCTTCGCCTCGCGACGCCTCTGTATATATGACAGACACATTTGAATTTTAGCTACTAATTAATTTTCTTAAATTGGATAAATCGTATCAAATGATTCAAACATTTCAATAGAATATAAATAAGATCTAGTAACGGGATGGGGGCTGTAACACGGTGCAGTATTTCTTTAGTATTAAGTCTGGATCCAGGGGCGTAACCAGGTTTTCATTCACCGTGGAGCGAAAAGTCCAGGCACACTTTTGTGTATACCTGGAATGGGGTTTTTGTGTGGGGCAAGTGTGTGTGTAGACGCCTGAATTTGGAACGACCGGTATGGGGGGGGGGGGGGCAGTGTTTCTTCCAGACATTTTTCTCCGGGAGGGGGGGGGGGGGGCACTTGAAATTTTCAGGGGGGGGGGACTAAAATTTTCAGGGGGGGGGACTAAAATTTTCAGGGGGGGGGGGAGGACACTCTTAAAAAATATTTTCTATATAAATTCAATTTCGTTCAGGGGGGGGGGGTAGACTTTTCTCGGGGGACGGGGGGCGGTGGGCTTTTCTCGGGGGAGGGGGAGACGGACCGAACCCGTGCAGTTTCTGACAACAAGTGTATGTAACGACCCGTGTTTGTATTGCCCAGTGTATATAGGAATACGATTGGACCCGTATGAGTATTTTTTTTTATTTTATTTATTTATTTATTTTTTTTTTTTTTTTTTTTCCTGACCCGTATTTTTTTTTTTTTTTTTTTTTTTTTTTTTTTTTTTTTTTTTTTTTAACTCATATGATTTATTTTAACATGTAACAAAATTATTCAAAAACTTATCATAGCTGATGGAGAAAGTGAGCATTCGGTAAGTGAACTAAATGCTAATGAGGTTAGTACTGAGATGGGCTTATTGTGATCATGAAGAAGTCGAAGTCTGCTTTTGTCAGCTGTCTTAAGTAAGGCGTTGATAATTTTTTTTGGCATTCAAAACAATTGCAATACATGAGCCATTTTATACCCAAATAAAATGGTAAGATTTCCTCTCAAGTCAGTAAAATCTGTAGGGGTTACTAGAAACTATTTTACAAATTGTTTTAATGGTTACTGACAAGTATTTTGTTAGGAGTCAAGTTCAAATCTTTAGGTGTTTCTGATGGGTATGTGTGTGAGGTGTCACTGAAGTTGAAAGGGGTCATCAGGTTTCTTGGGGTCAATAAAGTCTGAGGTATCACGTCCAAGTTTTGGGGTCAGTCAAAAGTTTAGGTATCACAGCTATCACAGGCCAGAGCACAGTTGCGTTTCATCCAGGCTGAATTAAATTTACAATCCCCTCTGGCCTGCCAAAGGCCGCAGGGTTTGTCTCCCCACTTGTTGATGCAGGTTGCTGGCTTTTTGAGTACTGGAGCTGATGTAGTCCTAGCCGTTGTTGGTGGCTGTGGCATGGTGGGTGGTGGTGACGCAATGGTTGATGGTGACACAATGGTTGATGGTGACACACTCACTTGTTGATCGTGTGTTCCAGTGGTGACCAACGTTACCTTTGTTGTTTCATTATTTGAGTCTGATGATGCAGTAGATGTTACTGCTGTACTGTGCATTACATTAGCATTCTTCACGGTGTCTGCAGTATTTATCACTGTGTCTGCAGTATTTATCACTGTGTCTGCAGTATTTATCACTGTGTCTGCAGTATTTATCACTGTGTCTGCAGTATTTATCACTGTGTCTGCAGTATTTATCACTGTGTCTGCAGTATTTATCACTGTGTCTGCAGTATTTATCACTGTGTCTGCAGTATTTATCACTGTGTCTGCAGTATTTATCACTGTGTCTGCAGTATTTATCACTGTGTCTGCAGTATTTATCACTGTGTCTGCAGTATTTATCACTGTGTCTGCAGTATTTATCACTGTGTATGTAGAATTAATAAGTGTGCCATTTAAAGTACTGTTGGAGCAAGCACTGCAAGATTGCTGGCAGTGTTTATCCATCTTATTGATCTCACACTGGCTAGCCTTGGCCCAGTTCTCACATTCTGTATCTGACCAAATATTTCTACAGTCATCAGTACAGTTCATGCAAGATTTTTTGCAGTTTTTTCTCATCCAATGTTTGTTGATTTTACATTCACCATTGAGTGCCCAGGTTTCACATTCAGTCTCATTTTTCCATTTATTTTTACATTCTGCATTTTCATCCCACCCGTATGAGTATGTATTTGTATAAGTCAAGTGAACTCGTAATTCCTTCAGAACACCAGTAATTCTAAAGTCCCATGCGTGTGTGTTATGATTAAATGTATGATGTGCACAGTGTTCAAAGAACTAACAATAACCTTAAATATATGTCATTGTTGAACATGATAACTCTGTGTAACATGCCTGCCTGCTCAAGTATTTTTGCCGTGTAAAACACTCACAAAACTAAACAATTAGTCTTGTGTTTTTTTTTTTTGTAAGCTTAACAAGTGTGCTGGCATGTTTATAAAGAGTTATTTCCCTTATGCTCGCAGCACCGCGCTGACCCACTGACCATCCCTCCCCCCTCCTTGTTATTAACACTCTACCACTTAAATAAAGCAGTCATTCGTGCAGAGGCGTAGCGAGGGTAGGGGGCGGGGAGGGGGGAGGGGGGTGTTGGAATAATAAATTGAAAGGTTGAGGGGGGGTGCAAATCGAAATCTTGAGGGGGGGGGGGGGGTGTACAAATCGAAAGCATGAGGGGGGGGGGTGCAAATCGAAAGTTTGTCCCCGGGCGCCGGAGGGTCGCTACGCCTCTGCATACGTGTAAATTATGCATAAACGACCGAAGGAGGTCGGGGGGGGGGGGGGGATAGTGTTATAGTGTTTCTTTCAGGCATCTTTTTTTGTGATGTTCATTGCAGTACGTCTACCGCCGAAATAGAAAATATATAATTTAACCAGTGTCTCCCACCCCCGGAAATTTAAATGCCCCCACCCTCCACTGTAGAAAAGGGTCTGAAAGAAACCCTGAGGGAATAACCAACCCCCTCCACACACCTTAACACAGCCACCTATCCAAATTTCAAAATATAAACCAATATCTAGGAAAATAAATCAACTCGATAAATAATAAATAATCCTTGTAAGTTTTTTCTTTACCCATTATGCCAGTGTTCAGTGTGGTTTAAGTGTTAAGTATTATGGGACGGGGTGACCTAGCGATAGAGCGCTGTACTGTTAACCCGGAAGTCTCGAGTTCGAACCCGGGTTCAAGTCAGTAGAACATCCCTGAGTCAGGTGGGTACTTAGCTTACGTTAGTGCAAGTAAAGGCGCCTGGGCATAATGCTGACCACACATCCCTTCATATGCCGAGTTCATATCCTTACATCTGTAATATCCTTACATCTGTAATATCCTTACATCCTTATCTGTGCTACTGCGTTCATGAACAATGAGTTTTAAGGGGTTGACCCCTCCCCGTGCTAAAAATGTTAGAGGGCGCCCATGCAAAATTGTAAACATTGTTTAAACTAAACTCATTGTTCATATACACAAGTAACTTAGAAGAAGGTATCACACTACTAAAGAGGGTTGAACTATTTTAACCGACACACCTAACCCCATTCCACATCTATTCTCGTCTTTCCCTCAGCAGTGGGGGCACTTGATATTTTCGGGGGTGCGGACGGGGGGGGGGTGGCGGACACCGGTTAAAATGTATATGTTTTCTATATAAAACTCCCGTAACACTGAAGAAATGCCTGAAAGAAAAACTGTTTGAGAAGCATAAAATTTTGTTTTAGTCCCCCCCCCTCTCATCCTACTTAACGAACACATTAAAAAGTCGCCCCCCCCCCCCCCGCGTGTTTCTTCCAGATTTTTTTTTATTTCTCTGGGGAGGTAGGGGGGGGCAGAGTTTCTTCCAGGCATCTCTTCGGGGGGGGGGGGGCTCCGAAAATTTCAAGTGCCCCCCCCCCCCCGGAGAATAAAAGTCTGGAAGAAACACTGAGGGGGGGGATGGTATCAAATTTCCGGCGGGGTGGGGGCGGACACTCGTAAAAGTTATATTTGTTATACAAATTCTATTTCACTGGGGGGGGGGGTGGCCCCTCGAAGAGATGCCTTAAAGAAACCCTTCCCATCAGTTACGAATGACATAGAAAGTATCCCACCGTCCGCCCGCCCCCCCCCCCCCCCCCTCACCCCAATCCCTGCAGTGTGTCTTAGTACGACTGTGTTAAAATGTTTGACCCACCCCAAACTGCAGGCCCTCGCGCCTCCTCACTAGGCGTGAGAGAACTCTGGCAGTGACCTTTCCTCGTTCATCAACTGTCACACACCGCGGCTAATCTCTGGCCAGAGTTAATGCCCCTGTTTTAACCGCGGACGTTTAACATTGCGCCAACCCAAGGCTGATATTAGTGATGTATTACTGATAACTTTTTGATGTTACACCTCCAGTAAAAGTAAAGTTCCCCTTACAAACTTGAAGGTCTATGGAGCAAGTGAAGTAGAGTTCAATTTTTTCTGTGACCTCGGCATATGAAGGGATAGTGTGATAGTGAGTTAGGTACCCATCAGAGTTGGGTGGACTCAAGGACGGTCAACCGACTTGAAACCGGATTCGACCTCGAGTCTTACAGGTTCAGCTCTCTATCGCTAGGCTACTCCGTCCCTACACCTCAAACGGTTATTACAAAAAAAAAAAAAAAAAAAAAAAAAAAAAAAAAAAAAATCAGACACATTTTTTAAACCTATTAGAACTGTTGTGGGACGGTGTGGTCTAGCAGTAGAGCATACGACTGCTAACCCGAAAGTCTCGAGTAGAACGTCTCTAAGTCCACCCAGCTCTGATGGGTACTTGACTCACGTTTGGGAAAATAAAGGCGGCTGGACATGGTGCTGAGCACACTATCCCTTCACATACCGAGATCACAGAAGCAGAGGAACTCTACTTTACTTGCCACATGGACCGTCAGGTTCGAAAGGGAACTTAGATTACATGTATAGTAGAGCCCATGACTGATAACCCGAAAGTCTCGAGTTCGGATCCCAGTTCGAGTCTGTAGGAAGTCCCGACTTACTTAGGGGAAACAAAGGCGGCTAGGCCTAGATCCGAACTCACCAGTAGGGCAAGCTCATAGAAACAGACGTACTCTACTTTATCTATCCCATGTGTCTTAGGCACGATCAGGAAAAGTTGATGATGAATCAATATCGAGATAAAGATCTACAAGGTAAGCCCGAAACAGACGTACTCTACTTCATCTATCCCAGGTGTCTTAAACACGATCAGGAAAAGTTGACGATGAATCAATATCGAGATAAAGATCTACAAGGTAAACCCGAAGGACTAGGGTTAGAATTTCTTTTTCCGATACGAGAAGAGTTCGTGTTGGTCATCCAACTGCTTCATATACCAAGGTCACATAAACAGAGGGACTCTACTTCCTCTTTAGTGTTGGCTAAGATAGGATTGCTTACACTTGTTTTAAAAGGTACAAAATAATTCATTAAAATAAAAAAAAAATACGTTTTTCTTGTTGTTGTTGTGAGTGTGTATATGTGTGTGTGGAGAGGTTGTTAATGTTGGGAACGAGGTGGAGGTAGGGTTTATGAACTGAGAGCCCGAATATTCAAACTTTGAAGATGGGTCAGGCTAGGTTATTGTAAAACTAGGATGGACTTTACTCCTCGTTACACAAAAAAAAAAATCAACGCATGTTGAGTCTAACTATGTACACACTCGCTGTACATTGCGACACATCACTTTGTATGTTGTTTTTATTGCTGATGCGCAATTAACATTATAAATAGAAATAATTGAAATAATTGTTCTTCAACAATACGAAAAGGGAGAGGACATTTTCGGGTGTGGTGAGCTACTTGAGGCATGTTTCGACATCTATTTTTGATGCAAATGATGAGGTCTAAGGTTCGAAAAAAAACGCCTAAAAGTAGCATATGAAGCCACAATTTTTTTCAATCTAAAAATATATATACGGACTGTAACACATTTAAAAAACAACTATTCTAAGGCTACAGCGTATTTTATACGAAACTTTTAGAAGCAGGGGTGGAGTGACACGCCAGTCTACCGGGAAAATTCCCGCTGGAATTCCAGGAAAAAAATCTCGGTTGGCCTCCAGGAACTGTGTTCTATTGGACAGTAATAGTCGAATTAGAGTTTTGATTTTAAAGGCGTAGGAAAAATTCAGGCTTAGATGGAGAAAAAAATACACAATCAAAATTTTGGTCTGGTGGCCCCTTTTAAAATCCCCCCACGGCCTCTTAAACATAGTTAATTGACCTCTGTTTAGAAGTTAGATATGGAGATATTGATGGTTATACATAATAGCAGTAGCGGGGGGGGGGGGGGGGGTGATTGGGGGGGAATGCGGTCCGCACCGGGTGACACCATTTAGGGGTGACGCCAATTTAAAAAAAAAGTTGATAACAATTGTTTATTAGTTTTAAAAAAAGTGGGACGGTGTGGTCTAGCGGTAGGGAGCTGGACTGTTAACCCGTAAGTCTCGAGTTCGAATCCGGGTTCAAGTCAGTAGACCGTCTCTGAGTCCACCCAACTCTGATGGGTACCTAACTCACGTTAGGGAAAGTATAGGCGGCTGGGCATATTGCTGACCACACTATCTCTTCATATGCCGAGGTCACAGAAACAAGTGAACTCTACTTCACTTATAAACCGTCAGGTTTGAAAGGGAAACTTTACTATTAGTTAAAATAATAAGATAGTAGAAGTAGAGGTAACACCAAAACAAAAATACTAATTTATTGTAGAATTGTGTTGACACTCTCAGTTGCCGCACCGGATGACACCCAACCTAGTGACGCCACTATATTGAGAGCTTGATATAGTTAAGCTGTTTTTAGTATTGTAATACGATACAAAAAGCCAGAAATCGGCAGTAACGAACTCTATTTCTCGCACAACAGTGGTAGAAAAGTTTTTAGCACCCCCCCCCCAGACCTCGTTCAAACATAAATTATGGACGGATGCCTAGCATGACAGTTATTATAGTTTCCCCTCCACCCCCAATCTACTACCATCAGGATTTCTTTCAGGCATAGTTCTCCGGAGAGGTAGGGGGCACAT